ACGTGTCTCTCACTTTTGGATTGCTTGCCGTCTCCGCAGCCTTGCCCCACTTTAGAAGTCACCAGGGTTGCGTCAGACGCAAGCGTTCTTCCGGAGGTGTTTTCCCCAAGTTCGGCCCAGGGCCTTTTGAGGCCTTCTTTATTTTAACCTCCTCATCCAACTCCATGGCTGCGTCCATGAGCTTGTAAAGGACGACGAAGGGAAGGTTATCCACGTCGACCTCGATCCGGCGGCCTTCATCAAACAAATGAAAACGACCCTTGCTCAGGTCGTCTGCCGGCTCATTTTGCTCCCTGGGCACCCAGGCCAGTGACAGATCCAACTTGTACTTCTCGAGCTGACAGGCCAGCTCCATCAATATCAAGGAGGCCGGGAACTTCGTAGTGAGAAACTTATCGAGCAGGAAAGCGTTGCTCAGGTTGTCGGTGAAGCCAGTTATTGAAACCCGTCCTGCCCCGGAATGCCATGTCGAGTCCTGGCCGAAGACAATGACTGCCACCGTCACCGCCAAGAGCTCTGAGGTCGAAATCGTCTTAAAAGGTTCTCCCTTCAGGTAGAGGTAGGGGGCATTCTTCCGGTCCAACTTGACATGGAACCACCTAGCCTCCTTCGTCTCCAAGGTCTCCGAGGTCTCCCAACCTCCTATCGCGATGCCGGTTTGGTCGGCCATGGCGTCAACTCTGAAGACCTCGCCCAAGACGCTCGGCTCCTGAGAGAGTGGACGCATAGGCTCCAAGGCCACCATCTCCTCGAAGAACCTAATGGCCAGCTTCGTGGCGAAGTGGAGCTCGAAGAAACCTCCTCCTGGTACCCTTGCACTAGATGCATAAAGAGGCGCAAGGAATGGCCTTGCGTATTTGGCAGCCCCGGCCAAGAACCCCATCCGGCCTAGGCCGGCCTTAAACTCCCGGCCAAGCATCCGCCCCACTGTCCGCGCCCACATCGACCACTGCCTCAACCAGTCCAGCTTCTTGTCGCTGATTCCTATCCGCCAACCCTTCAGGTCCAGACTATAACCGATCCACTCCACCTGCCAGCCTCCCCTCGTCTTGCCCCATGAAAGCGGGACCTCCATCAAGTCGAGGAAGAGGAACATGCCGAATGCCCAACGCATGTACTCCTCGCCGCCCAACAGGATCAACCCGTCATCAGCAAACAGGAGCAGGTAAAAGACGGCGTGAGGTGGCAAGAGCCGATGAAAGACCCTAAACACCAGGGAGGCAACCCTCCCCCACCAGAAAGCAGCGCTGGCCACCCCAAACGTGCCACGGGTGTTGAGAAGCACTTCGTCTTCTTGGTCAAGGCGGCACGCCTGCAGTCCCCAGTCCCTCCTGTGGATAGGGATGAGTCTATGCGCCGATTTCACGTCGAACGCCAGCAATGCCCGAGCCGCGGGGTTGTCTGACCGGAGAGCTCTCATGGCGCAGTCCACGTCATCAAACTGTGGGAACGTCATCTTGTTGGGCTGATGGATCTGCGTGTTGACCTGCAAGCCGTGGGTCCCATCATGCACCACTCTAACATCATTCCACTCCTTGTCCTTTGGAACCCCCCCCAACGATGCCACCTGGAGGTCTTCTCCATATTCTTCCTGAGCCGCGGCCAGAGGGACTCGAATCATCCACCCCTTCTCCACATCAGCTTCAATGTGGCGCTTAACCTTCTCCATGTGGTCACGAGCCGAGGAGTAATTGCTCCGCAGGTTAGCCGTCTTGTCATCTTCATTCCAGACTGGCGGCGCGAAGTCCTCGGCCCTCTTGTCCTTCTTCTCGTAGACGGGCTCGACCCAGGGTATCTCGCCCCGCACGCCCAGGGAAACTCCAGTAGAGGCCATGTCCTCCAGGAACCGCGAGTCCGCGTCTCCTATCAACACCGCCCAAGCCCGAAGACGACGGAATGCTATCTCCGAGGGTCGGTCGCCCGGTCGTCGTCCAGGGTCGACCTGCATGCCTACCACCACCTCGTCCAGTCGATCCCGGATGCCCCCCAGCAGCTCAGCGAAAGGAGAGCTTGCCCTGCGCCCCAAAGCCAGCTCCGAAAACAACCGCAACCTCTGTGTCTTGGACATGCCGTGCATGAAGCTGTCCACCTCCTCCCAAAACGCCTTGGACAGCGCCACCCCCTCCTTCTCCAAACAAACCCCCCTGTGACCTGCTGGCCTCGTACCGGGCGAGTTCAACCCCAATCCATCCACCATCTTGCGAGCCTTGCCCTTGTACCAGACCTGCAAATGGGCCCAGGGTCGGTCTCCTGCAGGAGCTGGAAGCCGTCTCCTGCGCTTGGCGTCTTTTGGCGCCGTCTCCATTACCAACTTCACCCCCTCTTGCTCCTCCGACCTTGACCCCGGTGGGCTCCCTGATGAGGCCATTGCCGGAGAGGAGCTCCCCGAAGCAGCTGCCACCGAAGACGAACCTTTTGAGGTAGGCGGCACCGAAGAAGATGACTTTGACGTAGTTACCTCCACAGTTGACACCGACGACGAACCTTTGGATGAAGGTGGTGCCGAGGACGATGACTTTGACGTAGTTACCTCCACAGTCGACAGCGACGATGAACCTTTGGATGAAGGTGGTGCCGAGGACGGTGTTTGTGACATTTCCATTGGCGCAGCTCTCTCCTTTGCCCGCTTCAGAAGAGCGGAGAAAATGGATTTGGCCAGCCATTTGTCCATTTTAGGGGGGTAGGCGGCTGCTGCGGTGGTCGCAAAAGCGCCGTCGGAAGTCTTCCGAATAAGTGTCTGATGTGGGCGGCCGCAACCACATTGAGAGGGAAGTGGCCCCAGGTAGTGGCCGGAAGCGTCCAGTTGTGGCATGCTTAGCCAAAGGCGGTCATTGAGTTCCGCCATGTTGTGGAGCAGCCTGGTGGGCTTAGGTGAGGAAGCGTCGAACCGACACTGAAAGAAAGCGCCGCAGAAGGCTTGGCCGGCAGAAACCCAGCTTCTAATCGGCAGCAACTGCCAAATGGACGCCGGCCGCATCTC